GCTGATGCATAGGAGCACATGTACCCCAATGTTCATAGCAGCACTCTGAACAATAGCCAAAACATGGAAAGAGCCTAAGTGTCCATCAACAGACGAATGAATCAAGATGTGGTTTATCTATACGATGGAATACTACATGGCAATGAGAAAGAATGAAATCTGGCCATGTGTAGCAACAAGGATGGACCTTGAGGGTGTTATGCTGAGCGAAATAAGTCAGGTAGAGAAGGACAAATACCATATGTTTGCACGTATAGGAGAATTAGGAGGACTTAATGGAGGACCATGGGAGAGAAGAAGGGGAGAAATCGGGGAGAGGGAGAGAAGTAAACCATGAGACACTCTTGAATGCTGAGAACAAACTGAGGACTGATGGGTGTTGGGGGGGGGAGATGGGCATGGAGGAGGGCACTGGTGGGGATGAGCACTGGGTGTTACATGGAAACCAACTTGACAATAAACTATTTGTAAAAAAATTAAAAAATTATAAATATTGAATGTTTATGATAATGCCATAAAGTATGACTAAAAATACTGTAAAAAAAATCAAATGGAAATGTTAGAAATAAAAATTCATTAGAGAACAAGAATTCCTGATGAGCTGATCAACAGATGAGGCACAGCTGAGGAAAGGCTCAGTGAACCTAAAGATAGATTAGTAGACATTGTTCAACTGAAATACAAGTAGGAAAAAAAAATTTTTTTTAACACAAAAAAACCAACTCAGAGCTATGGAGCTATAAGACAATATCAAATGGTGTAACATATGTATAACTGGAGTCTCATAAGGAAAGGAAAAACAAAGAATGAGGCATAAGAAATATCTGAAGTGACAATGGTCTCAAAATTTCCAAAATAATGAAAGATGTCAAACTACAGAAACAAGAATCTCAAAGAACCCTAAGTAGGATACATAGAAAGAAAGGTTAATAACACCTAAAGACATCATAATCTAGCTAATGAAAAGCGAAGAGAAAATCTTGAAAGTGCCCAAGAAAAAAGAAACATTACAAAGAGGAACAAAGATAAGAATTCTGGATTTCTCACTGAAAAATGAAATTTAAAAAAAATCATAATTATGACAAGATTTACATCGCTGTCTCAAGATAAGTTTTCAAATTGCAAGAGGTTCAATAATTTCTATTAACCATTACCTGCTCCTTTTACAAAATTCACTTTCTATATAGGTTGTAGGCAGCATAAGCCACTTATTTGGAGTCATAAAGTGCCTCGAACTAGAAATTCTTGGAAATCTGGACTGCTGTTTGGCGTTCTCAACCTCTTTAAATTCTTTCATTGTACATATTTTGCCTGTAGGAAGATTAGTAACCTAAATTAGCACCCTTAAATGCAACTCCCATTGCTTTTAGGTTATAAGATCACATGACAATTAGTACCAGTCTCACACTGAAGAAGAGTTCTTTTCTCGTTATCTTTGTCATATTGTGCCTTTTTCAAAGGATCACGAAATGGTGGAACGATAACCTACAAGAAAAGCAGATCTTTAAGGAAAGAACTGCAAGTCTTTTTCAGTCTATCCTAATCATCGGTGTATGACTCCTATGCCTGAAAAAATCAGTATCTACAAACTACTAAGTTTAACCATTTACAGAAATGGGGACACTCCAAAAAACTCTTTGCAAGGCCCTCCAGCCATGGTTATAGTTCTTGCTTTAACAGCCTTTTCAGATTATTGTGGATATTCTTCTTAGACACTATACCCACACTAAGTTCTGTAGTTTCTTAAAAGTTATGATGTGAAATGTGAAACTATATCAATAAATTATTCAAACTCAACTACATTAAAATCCATTGGTCTCTGTTGAACTTTGAGTGGATCTTTTATCCAGGTCATGGATTATTTGGAAGAAACTATATCATTGAGTTATGTGAGATCTTCCAAATTATCAATACATATCATTATACTATAATCATATTCACTAATATCATTACCAATCTCATCAAAAAACTATGAGTAGCAGAAAGCTGTCATACTCATGACAGTGAATATTTTTCCAAAATTTCATTTTCTGCTTAAAAGCTGTTTTATCATTGGCAACAAATACTGTCATTTTTCTTGAAGTGACTTCATGAATTTTCCAAAAAATGTCTGCCAAATATCCAACACTTATAACCATAATTTATAAGTCATTTAAAAAAAAAGTGTACCATGAAAAATAAATCAAGCAGTATAGCTGACAATTCAAGCAATCATTAGGAAGAAGTGCTCTTTGCATACTTACTGTTTCATCACACAGAATACTAAAAAGATATATACTTAGGAGCAAGATTTCATAAAATTAACAATTTTTAATGTTTGATCAAGGACATTCTTAAGTGAAACTGCAATTTTTTTTTTTACTGTGAGTGCATGGCAGTGAGCATATAATGATGACCAGTATGATTTGGTGACACTGACTTAAGTTGTTCTAATTACCAGCAGCTTCACCCACCATTGCTTTTGCACCATCAGAGCCAATGTCAATGCTATGAAAAGGTAAATAATATTTGGCACTATTATGAAAATACTTGGCCTAATGGGTCCCTTAAAAGGGCTTCAGGGCTCTCAAAGATCTACGTACCTCACTTTGAGAACTGCTGTTATAACCTCAAACTGTTCCACTTAGAGGCCGCCTATCAGCTTCATTTAGAAAAGTAGAATGGTAAAAGAACAAACTAGAATTTTGATATCAAAAAGATCTAGTTTCAAATCCCAATTCTGCCCCTTAACTAGTTATTATACTAGTTAATAAACTAAGGCTCTAACTTTAAACTCTCACTTTAACTCCTACCTACTAAAATAGGGACAATAGCACATGCACACACCCTGATTTGGCAAAAAAAAACAAACATGCTTTGCCTGCAAATGCCTACAGTTTAAAATGTCTATGACTCGAGGGTTCAGTCGGTTAGGCATTCGACTCTTGATTTTGGCTCAGGTCAGGATCTCATGGTTTGTGAGTTCAAGCCCCATATCAGGCTTTTCACTGACAGTGTGGAGCCTGCTTGGGATTCTCTGTCTCCCTCTCTCTCTCTGCCCCTCTCCCACTCATCCACTCTCAAAAATAAACATAAAAAAATAAAATAATATGTCTATGACTCAAGAATTTTAATTTTGTTTAATAATATCCACTATTAGCAGGCTACCTGGGTGGTCAGTTAGTTAAATGTCTGACTTCAGCACAGGTCATGATCTCGCGGTTCATGAGTTCAAGCCTGCATTAGGCTCTGCACGGGTGATGAGGAGCCTCCTTAGGATTCTCTCTCTCTCCCTCACTCTCCCTGCCCCTTCCCTACTTGTGTGCACTCTCACTCTCTCTCTCAAAATATATTTTAAAAAATCCACTATTAGCAAAAGTGTGGGAAAATGGACTCTGGCAGGGACACAAATTTATACAATTATTCTGGAGGACAATTTGGTAATATGAATCAAAACCATGCATAACCTTTAACTCAGCAATTCTACCTCTAGCAAGTTACCCTAAGGAAAAAATTAAATAGTTACAGGGAAGTTTATCATGTCATTTATAACAACAATAGGTTCAAAACAATCTAGATGTTTGAAACAGGGAATATGTTTAAAAAAAATGATGGCATAGCAAGGTACCATATATGGTTAGAAACATATCTATGCTCTATTTACAGTTGTGCGGCTATGAAAAGTAATTTAACAGGTCTGTGTCTCACTTGCCTCATCTGCAAATTACCTCATGTGGTAGTAGCAAAGATGGAAGAAAAAAAAAAGTCCTAATATTTGGTTAAGCCTTCAGTGCAAGTTAGCAGTCATTACTAATAGAATATTATACAATGATAAAAATTATGTATTTACATTTTTTGTTTATTTCTTACTGAGACAGAGAAAAACAGAGCATGACTGGGGGAGGGGCAGAGAGAGAGGGAGACAGAATCTGCAGTAGACTCCAGGCTCTGAGCGGTCAGCACATAGCCTGATGCGGGGCTCCCAGGGCTCAAACCCACAAACCCTGAGATCATGACCTGAGCCAAAGTTGGATGCTTAATTGACTGAGCCACCCAGATGTCCCTGTATTTACATTTATGACAAAAAAAGAGAAAACCATAAAACTATTGAGAAAAAAGGAGAGTATCTGGGTGGCTCAGTCAGTTGAGCAACCACCTTTTAGTTTTGGCTGGGTCATGGGACCGAGCCCCGTGTCACACTCCACACTGAGTGTAGAGCCTGCTTGAGATTCTCTCTCCCTCTGCCCCTCTCCCCTGCTCATGCTATCTTTCTCTCTAAAAAAAAAAGAAAAAAGAAAAAAACACACAAAAACAACTAATGAAGAAAAAAATGCAGAGTATGAACCTAATGGGTGTTATCCCACTTTTGTAAAATAAATCTACATACAGAAAAAAGCCTTGGATATCCAAAAGGATATAAAGAAAAATGTTAATGAGTTCATTCTGGGTAATGGAATTGTGAATGGTTTTTTCATTCTTTATTTAAATATAGATTTTGTTCATTTATCATGAAAATGTATTACATTTGTAACAAATTTTTAAGAGTCTGAAATTTTTAAATGTTACCTACTACCTGAATATTATACAATAATTTCAAATTTTACTGAGGTTTAATTTACTTTGGACTTTGTTGTTTTTTGGGTTTCTTTACTTATTTTGAGAGAGAGCATGAGTGATCAGGAAAGGGGCCGAGAGAGAGAATCCCAAGCAGGTTCCATACCGTCAGCACAGAGCTTGATGCGGGCTCAATCTAACGAACAGTGAGATCTTGACCTGAGCCAAAGTCAAGAATCACCAAGGCACCCCTGGACTCTGGGTGTTTTATTCCTAAGATATGGAGATGGGAAACAATTCTTAAGATGTTACTGCATTCTGGGGCACCTGGGTCACTCAAGTCAGTTGAGCATCCGACTTCAGCTCAGGTCATGATCTCGCTTGCTGCTATTAGTGCAAAGCCTGCTTTCAATCCTCTGTTTCCCTCTCTCTTTGCCCCTCCCCCACTAGCGCTCTCTCAAAAAAAAAAAAAAAAAAAAAAGATGCTACTGCATTCTTAGAGAATCACTAAAGGACTACCCACACATCAGGGCTGCTCAAAAAAGCCAACCACATAATATAAAAAATAAGAAGTCTATCCTACCTTCAGAAAATTCGGGTCCTTTTTGCTCATATAAAAAGGATCATACTCTTTCGGATCATAATGCTCTATAAATACATTTCCCTATAGGAAGGAAATAAAACTACACATAACAAGAGGTACACAATTAATTTTGAGCATAACAGGACTCAACAGTCAAACACAATTCCATTCTTCTGCTTCAAAACGGCATTAATGACAAATACAAAAGGGAAGGGAAGACCAAATTTAAAGCTAAACTTGAGGTAGTCAAGTAATAAACATTATAGTGATAGAAGGAATCTACTTAAAATTTGCTAGAATTAATAATGAATGTTGGGACACCAACAGATTTGGGAAATTATTTTTAAATGCTTAGTAGTCAAACATCTCAGATCTCTTAGAGATGCCAAAATAGAAATATCTTATAGTTTTGTAAACAACCAGGTTCTAGAACTATATCTATCAACCCTAGAGTCCAAATTTAATTGGTATACAAAATTATTACATGAGAAAAGCAGACAAGTAATACTAATCTACCCATTTAACTCCAGACCTAATCCTCTTTCTTCCATCCTTTCCACATGCCCTAGATTTAGGAATAGTATATGCTCTAACAGAGTAGAGTTTATACATATATAGAGTGGAAGAGGTAGGCTATTTGGATGATTATAAAGATAATCACAATTTTAAACCAACTGAAACAAGTATCAAATGACCTCTTATTACCTTTTTATTTACATGTTTTAAAAAACCACCTAATTCCTCTTGTCTCCTTTTATTAATCTTCTTATGTGAACAAACTTTTTCTATAATTTTCTTCTGGAGAGGATCTGCCACATGGTCAGTCCATCTTTTATACAACCTCTCCTTTCTTCTTGCATTTAAGAACTCATGATGTTGCAAATATTTATCTAGTTCCTATTAAACAATGATAGAAAAAACAATTATCCTAAAGCTATTTAAAATCTAAAGTTCATTTATATTCCTAAGAATAACTCACAAAGTCATTCACTGATTCATCTATTTGGCTTCTACTGTGTGACACGCACTATACTAGAAATAATGAATATATAGATAAATTAGGCAACATGCCTACTCTTCCTGGACAGACTACAAGACAAATACACAAAACAATAGGAGGAAGGACGATATAGCAAGATGTATATGTGTGTGTGTATAATATATACACATGTATACATATGTTACATAGATGTCTGTAAATATATATATACCTATAAAAGAACTAAAAACAAAAAGACTCAGATACTTGTATACCAATGTTTGTAGCAGCATTATTCACAATAGCCAAAAAATGAAAGCAACCCAAGTGTCCATCAGCAGATGAATGTATAAACAAAATGTAGTATATACACAAAATGGAGTATTATGCAGCCATAAAATGGAATGAAGTTCTGAAATAGGCTACAACATGGATGAATCTTGAAGACAATATGCTAAGTGAAATAAGACAGACACAAAAGGACAAATATTGTAGGATTCCACTTACGTGCAATTATCTAGAATAAACAAATGCATAGAGACAGATGCTAAATTAGGGGTTACCAGAGGCATCTCTGGGGAGGGAGGAATGGGAAGACATTACTTAATGCATATAAAGTTTTGGTTAGGGTGATATAGTTTTAGAAATAGATAAACGGTGATGGTTTCACAACACCCATCTATTTGGAAATAGATAGTAATGCTAATTGCACAACCTGTGAATGCAATTAACAACACTGAACTGTACACTTAAAAATGGTTAAGGGGTATCTGGGTGGCAGGTCACAGATCTCAAGTCATGAAATCAAGACCTGTGTCACACTCCACATTGGGAGTGGAGTCTGTTTAAGATTCTCTTTCCCTCTCCCTCTGCCCCTCCCCATGCACATGCACGCTTGCTTGCTCACTCTCATTTAAAAAATGGTTTAAAATAGCAAATTTTATGTTATATATATTTTACCACAATGGAAAAAAGTAACAAATTTTTTTTTTTACTCCTATAGTGGGAGACATTTGGGATGGGCCTTAAAGGAGTTATCTAGCGGGGTTGCTTGGGTGGCTCAGTTGGTTGGGTGTCCAACTTCAGCTCAGGTCATGATCTCGCAGTTCGTGAGTTCAAGTCCCACAATGGGCTCTGTGCTGACAGCTCAGAGCCTGGAGCCTGCTTCTGATTCTGTGTGTGTCTCTCTCTGCTCCTTCCCCACTCACGCTCTGTCTCTCTCTCAAAAACAAACGTTAAAAAAATTTTTTAAAAAGAGTTACTAGAGGGAACCTGAGTGGATCAGTAGTGGATCCACTCAGAACCTGAGTGGATCTGACTGCCAGCTCAGAGCCTGGAGCCTGTTTCAGAGTCTGTGACTCCCTCTCTCTCTGACCCTCCCCTGCTCATGCCATCTCTCTCTCCCCTAGAAATAAATTTAAAAAAAAACATTTAAAAAAAAAAGAAAGAAAAAGGAGTTATCTAGGAAGAGAAGGTATGAGAATGTGGAAGAAGAAAAATCTATTGAAAAAGAAAAAAGAGTAAACTGGCGGAAAAGTAGCACAACCCAAATGAAATGGCAAGCAGCCTGTAAATAAAGAAAATGACTGACTTAAGCTATACACTAAAATTTGTTTATCCAAAACTTATCCACCTGTCATTTAGTAAATGAAATCATGTGATTACTAAAATCAATCACATGAAATTCAAAATGAGGAAAAAAAAAAACACACAAAAAAGAGGCCATATCCCTTCTTATATTCAGGTCATAGCACACTTCAACCATTTTTTTTTAAGTAGGCTTCATGCCCAGAGGAGAGCCCAGTGCAGGGCTTGAACTCATGACCCAGAGATCAAGACCAGAGTTGAGATCGAGTCTGATGCTTAACCAACTGAGCTACCCAGATGCCCCACACTTCAACCATTCTTAATGAATAGCTCCTCTCTTTTTTAAACAACTGTAAAGAAAATTCTTAAAAACAAAAACAAGTTACCCACTCCAGTGTTTACCACACATGGACATTTATCTTGTCTTATAATTAAGCCCATCCTGTTACAGTTAAAGCCTTCTTTTTACCTATGCCTTACCTAAATTCTTCTTCTTATCTAGTAATAATTAGTCAGTGAGTCCCAGTAACAGCTCTTAAAACTCTTAAGAATACACGGTGACTCCACAGAAGCCCCACTAGATGAAAGAACAAGTGACTAGGGGAAAACTCGTATATAAAAGTATCTGTGAGGGGGCACCTGGGGGGCTCAGTTGGTTAAGCCTCCAACTTCGGCTCAGATCATGATCTCGTGGTTGGTGAGTTTGAGCCCCGTGTGCTGGCAGCTCAGAGCCTGGAGCCTGTTTCGGATTCTGTGTCTCCCTCTCTCTCTGCCCATCCCCTGCTCATGCTCGGTCTCTGTCTCAAAAACAAATAAACTATAAAAAAATTTTTTTTAAGTATCTGTGAGGAACACCTGGGTGGCTTAGTCGGTTAAGCATCAGACTCTTGGTTTCGACTCAGGTCATGATCTCACAGTTTATGAGTTCAAGCCTTGCATCTTGTGCTCTGGACACAGAGCCTGCTTGGGATTCTCTCTCTCTCTCTCTCTCTCTCTCTCCTCCCTCTCCCTGTCCCTTGCCTGCTCATGCTCTCTCAAAATAAATAAACTTAAAAAAAATATGTGTGAAAAAAATCCCCACAAATAAAAAGACAGGAAGTCAATTAAAACAACCTCAGAGATCTCTTAAGGTTAACCCTAGGCATTAATGAGTGTTTTCAATTCTATTTTCCATCTAAAAGGGAAAGACAAAAGTTAATTTCACATTATAGAATTATAATGTAATTAACTGTCACATTACAGAATGTGACACATTCTGTAACCAATTCTTACCTTAATTACATAATTTTCTCTATATAATATCGATTGAATAGCTGCATCAATATCTTCTTTAGCTAATACCTAAAATTATAGAATGAAATTTTGAAAATCAAATTTAAAAAATCAAATTATTAATACTATCTGGACTCACAGACATATCCCTGGAAAGTTCTCTATAAATACAATTTTTCTACCTCAAATCATATCATCAAGTACTTTTTATTTTATTTTTTATTTTTTTTATCAAGTACTTTTTAAAGAGCATCTGAATCTTTCTATTTGCTATAGCTCATTCGAAGGCAAAAAATAACTCAGATTATAGACATTTTGAATCCCAGCATGGACAAATGACCAGCCCATCACCATATGGTAAGTAGAATCGATCTTTTTTTTTCACATTTCATGAAAGGCTTTCACCTTTATGGGTTAAAATAGAATCAGGCCTTTATTTGAATTCATTCAATCATGAGTGACTTCTGCTTTAATCCATTTAGTCATTGTAGCTATCAAATACTAATAATAAATTTGTTTATATACAAGTCACATTTTTAGATTTTAAAGGAACACAATCTTCAGGAAATAGTTCATAATAATAATTTTTTCCATTTTCACAACAAATCTTCCACAATTAACTATCTGCCAGAAAATACAAGAGGTTATAATTAATGTCATTGAATTATACTTAAAAATGGTTAAAAATAGTGAACTTTGATACTATATATATCTTACCACAATGGAAATATGATTAATTTTTTTTAATTTCCCAAAGTTACTAACATTTTGGGTGGGCTTTTAAAATCCATTCATAATAATACAAAAAAAATTTCTCAAATTAACTATTATTGGAAATAGTTGTCTTCAGTTCCACTATTCTTGTTTTCAAAAAAGAGAGTAAAATCTCAAAATCCGGGGCGCCTGGGTGGCTCAGTCGGTTAAGCGTCCGACTTCAGCTCAGGTCATGATCTCACAGTTCGTGGGTTCAAGCCCCGTGTTGGGCTCTGTGCTGACAGCTAGCTCAGAGCCTGGAGCCTGTTTCAGATTCTGTATCTCCCTCCATCTCTCTCTGACCCTCCCCTGCTCACACTGTCTCTCTCTCTCTCAGAAATAAATAAAACATTAAAAAAAAAAGAATTAAAAAAAACCTCAAAATCCAAGAACTTACCTTCCCAAGGATGGCTAACACTCAAGGAAATTAAGGGTCATAGGAGTTAAGCAACAAGTAGAAGCCTAGAAAATTCTGCACAGAAACAAGAATTTAAACTCAAATGTAACTAACTCCAGATTCACTTTCTTTGTTCTTTCTGCCTCACAGAGTTGCTATTCCTGGCAAACCTGTTGTTCTCAAAACCAAGATGGGTACTGAAATAATATTCTAGACAATAATAGAAAAAACAACAATCTGAAGACATTGGAGACTTGACCAAAAGCAGGGAGAAAACAGAATGTAGTCAATAATTAGAAAAAGAAAGTAACAGCAGTGGGTTTCAGTTTTATAGACTTTTGTCTAAGAGCAGGCCTCTATCAGAGCTAAAGCAGAGGGTTCAAACTCAGAAACATGAAGTTTTACAGAATTTAAGAATTAGAAGACAAGAGTTCAGGGAATCCAGAGGAGCTGGAAAGTCAAAGGAGAAATACCTGAAAGGAGAAAGCCAGAGAGGATGCCACAAACTTTACAAATGACCTGACCAAATCTCTGGCAGATCCTTGAACTGTGTATGTACAAGGCAGATATGATCTCACAGTTCATGGGTTTGAGCCCCGCATCAGGCTCTGTGCTGACAGCTAGCTCAGAGCCTGGAGGCTGTCTCTGGATTCTATATCTCTCCCTCTCTCTGAGCATCCCCTGCTCACGCTGCCTCTCTGACTCTTAAAAAAAAAAAAAAAAAAGTTAAATTCATTTCCCGTATGACCCAGTCATTCCACAATTATATACTTACCCAAGAGAAATGAAAGCATATGTCCATATAAAGACAAGTGCATGAGTGTTCCTAACAGCTTTGTGACAGCCACAAAATGCAAACCCAAATGTCCATCAGGAGGATGGACAAACCATATAGCATTTAGCAAAAAAAAAAAAAAAAAAAAAAAATGAAGTACTGAAGTACTGATACATGCCACAACACAGACGAATTGCAAAAATAATTATGCTGAAAGAAAGAAGCCAGACAAAAAGCATATTGTAAGATTACATCTGCATTAAAAAAAAGAATTATGTTTATTTACTTCTGAGAGAGAGACAGAGAGAGGCATGAGTGGGGGAGGGGCAGAGAGACCAGGAAACAATCTGAAGCAGGACCCAGGCTCTCAGCTGTCAGCACAAAGCCCTACGTTCAGGACTCAAACCATAGACTGCGAGTTCATGGCCTGAACAAAAGTTGGACACTTAATCAACTGAGCCACCCAGGCGCCCCACATCTGAATAAAATTTTTTAAGGGCAAAATAAACTATAGTGACAGCAAATCAGTGATTGCCTTGGTTGGGGATAGAAAAGGAGGAAACTTTGGGCATAATGAATATGTTCATTCTCTTAACTGTGGTGGTTTCACGTGTGAATACGTATGTCAACATTTATCAAACTGCACACTTCAAATATATGCAGTTTAGTGTGTACTAATTATACCTTATAAAGCTGTTTAGAAAATAAGAAATCACAATAGTTTTTCAAAATACAACATATATAAATTCAGGTGATGAAGTTTACAAGAGTGCTTCAGGAAAGCAGCGCCTAGGTGGCTCAGTTGAGCACCAAACTCTCGATTTTCATTCAGGTCATGATCTCACAGTTCATGAGACATGAGATGGTGCCCCAAGCCCAGCTCAGTGCTGGTAGGATGGAGCCTACAGAAGTCATATAATCAATTACCTATGATTCCACCTTAGGAAACTAGAGAATGAAGAGAAAACATGATGTTAGTAGAATAAATGGAATAGTAAAGAACAGAAATGAAACAGAAAACATAGAAAAAATGTTAAGCACAAGCCAATTCTCAGTGCAACTACCCAGATAGAAACTAAAATGCCATACACTACTGTTACCTCCATAAAATGAAGTGGCTGTGGTTCCAACCATTCTTTCGAGCTCTTGGGCTTAGGATGCTTGTCAGTTAGGATATCATCACTGTCTAAATTTTTCATTGTGGTCACAAATAACAGAGCCCCTAGAAAGACTAGAAGATTCGCTTATTCATTAATGAGAATTCACAGTCTTACTCTCTATTAACAATCCTTGGCCACCATGAGCAGGTGTGGGACGGATTCTGACTTAGTAGCCACCCACACTCTGCCTAACAAGAGGACTTCACCATAGTTCCTGATGATGTCCTCAAAACCAGCGTCTTTGAAGCAGGGGAGGTTCTCCCTGGACTGACCCGTGTCCCCCTTAAATTCCAGGCTTCCCACGTCCTACAACACAGCCGATTGGAGCCGGTGTGGCAATTACCAGCCAGGCCTCTAGGGGTCGCACGGCAGCACTTTTCTGACCGAGGGCCGCCAACCCGAGAGCTGTAAATTCCTGGCTACCGCAGCCCACACAGGCGGCGCTGCTTACAGAAGGGAGGGCTTTTCAGACAATCTTTGCGTGTCCTCTAGCTCTAGGTCGCCCAAAGCAGTCCCCCCGACACATACACACACAAGGACTGTCATCTGAGGAGGAAGCTGTCATCAGGGCTTGCGCCCTTTGTAGACCTACAAGCACCCACGACCCCATCCCTCCCCTCCCACCCCGTCAGCAAGATGCGGGCGAGCTCTGGCCGGCCCCGCAGGAAAGTTGCAGACCACGACAGGTACCTGAGCTCTCCCCTCCCCCAGGACTGACTGGGCCTTCGGCTCCCCGCAGCACTCGGGGGCCCGGCCCCACGGCCCACGGCCCACCAGTCGTTGGCTGCCGCGGGACAGTGAGCCCGCCCGGGCCCGCGGCCCCCTCAGCTGGAGCCGGCGGCCTCGGAATGGCAGAATGTTCGCGTCTAGCGTTTTCCGACGCAACCTCCAGCGGACCCTGTGCGGCGCCAGGCGACGACGAGTCAGAATTCTGCGAGGTCGCAGGGCCTGGAAAGCGTCCGCGGAGTCTGTGAGCCCCAACTGCGCTCAAGTGTGGTCCCACGAGTTTGTAACCTGGACACCTGCGGTGAGGACGCTGGTGGGCGGGGCGTGGTTAGCGAACCAAACCGAAGCCCTTCTCGGTGACGGGCAGCTGTCACAGCCAATAGCTAGGTACGTTGCTTCTCCGCCCCGCCCTCCCCAGCGTCCGTTGATCGCAGGCTGCTGCTCACGCCGGCCTTTGCGGGGTGGGCTTTTCTTGAGTGCCTGGTTCCTTCCGCCTGCGCCGGGCCCGTTGCGCTCCCTTAAGCCATCTGTGCGTCTCCCAACCAACAGGACTAGACAGTAGTCCTCCCCCCTAGCCTCCAGTCCCACTTCAGGAAACATCCCAGGAGTGGCCGAGAAGGGGTGCCTGCCCTCAGTATTATCCCTTAGAAGGACGAGAGTTTGTGGAAGTTGTTCTTATGAGGATGGGAAATGTCGCTTTAAATGCGTTAAAGGTTTATTTAGTCCCCTGTATCAGTGTCTATAGTTGGCGCTGATGATGGTCAGCGAGCGGTAAGAGAATGTGAGGACTCAGGACCAGCTGATCGCATTCAGCTTTGCTTAGATCGCTGGCGTGCATCCGCAGGTGTTCGGTTTGGGGTTTATAATCTCAGGTGATTCCGATGCGAACCACAGATTTAACTAGAAAATTAAGAGCATTGATTTTCTAAGCTCACTTAATAACCTGCTGTGCGAACTGTGATTTTCTATTATTCTATTTTCCACTTTGTGTACTGGTGGATATTAGATAACGGACCACAGTTTTCACGCTGACACCTGTCCAATGGGTCTTAGGGAGGTTTGTATTCACAGGGTGAATCGTATCAACTGCGGTTCCCTTTTTCAGAGCTCAGGGAGCATGAGCCATTTGCAGAACTTACTGTTAGATACCCTCCTGGGAACAAAGCATGTGGACAGTGCAGCCCTCATCAAACTCCAGGAGCGAAGCTTGAGTGTAGCATCACCTGGATTTAGCGTAAGAAAAAGCCGGTTTTTGGATCAGCATTACAAACTCTTTCTATAAAGAACCATAGTCAACATTTTCGGTTTCTGGGCTATATGGCCAGAACTACTACTACGCAGTTTTAATGGAAAAACAAACAGTACGTTAAAAAGTGGGTGTGACTATGTTCCAATAAATCTTTATGAACCACAAGCTTGAATTTCATGTAATTTTTACATATCACAAAATATTATACTATTTGTTTTTTCCAGTGACTTAAAAATGGGGGGGGAAACATTCTTAGCTTGCAGGCCTACAAAAACAGGTAGTGGGCCAAATTTGGCCAGCCTGCCATAGTTTGCCCACTCCTAGTCTGACTTCTGCAGGTAATGCCCAGTGATGTCCGAACTCTTGTGAATGGATTCGCCAAGAACCCTTTGCAAACCAGAAGAGAAGGATTGTATTTCAAGGAAAAGGACTACAAATGTGTCCGGGCAGATGACTATTCTCTTTATGCTAAGAATGTGAGTGTTTGAGATTTGAAGACAGCTAGGTAAAAAACCTTAAGAAAATTGACTCCAATTTGCTCCGCCCCCCCATCCCATTTATAAAACAAATTAAGCCCATTACTGCAGTAGCAATGTCTGAGGCAGCAGTCTAATGCCAGGAAGGCATATGCAAAAGAAAGTATGAACAGAGAACCTAGCTGAGAAATAGTCATTCCAATGGAATCTATCAACTGAACCCTGCCTGAAGTATCTTTTTTTACGACTCCATACTCTACATCCTCTTTCTTAAAAAAAAAGAAAAGAAAGAAAAGAAAAAGACAAAGTAAAAGAAAAAGAAAAAAGGTGATAGCATTCTTGTGCTTAAAACATCTCTTGGCTCTCTGTTGCCTGTAAGGAAACAAGGAAATGAAATTCACATTTATTGGATGCCCTATGCTATGGCATAAACATACTTCATCTGTATTATAAAGTAAGTAGCCTCATTTTACGGGTGACAAAACTGAGATCTAACAAGGTTAAATAATTCTTCCTTAGTCATGCAGCGAAAAATGGAGGTGTCAGGATTCAAGCCCAAAGCTGTCCAATTTCAAAATGTATTACCTTTTCATTATATCATTTGTTCTCCTTGAGATAGGGGTCAATTATAATCAGTTGGGGAACTTTTCCAAACACAGATATATGAGTGTAATGTCAAAAAATGTGGCTGGAGTGTAACTACTAGTTCTGTAATGAGAACCAAAAAAGGGCATTCTGTTTTCCTTTTATCCAGGAAAACACTGGTGTGGTTGTTGTGAAAACCCATCTGTATCTTCTGGTGGCAACTTACACTGAAGGCATGTATCCTAGTGTTTGTGTGGAAGCCACGGAGAAACTGGGTAAGTTTGTCTCCCTATGCCTGTCTTCGTTCCCTACGGTAGTGAGGTCTTCTGACTGCTAGTAACTATGAGCCAATTCATACCACCTAGGGCAGAAAGGAGGAATTTATTGGAAGAGTACTGGGGTTAATTAGCTGAACCACAGGGAAAATGGATTCCAGGGACAGCAATACTGCTAGAATGCTTCTCTAGTCTGTTTCTCTTTCTTTCTTTCCTTCTTTCTTTCTTTCTTTCTTTCTTTCTTTCTTTCTTTCTTTCTTTCTTTCTTTCTTTCTCTTTCTTTCTTTCTTTCTTCCTTCCTTTCTTTCTTTCTTTCTTTGTTCCTTCCTTCCTTCCTTTCTTGAGAGCATAAAAGTGAGCACAAGCAGGGGAGAGGGGTAGAGAAATAGAAGGGTAGAGTGAGGGGAGGGGAGAATCTTAAGCAGGCTCCAAGCTCAGTTTGGATGGGGCTCAATCCCACAACCGTGGGATCATGACCTAAGCCGAAATCAAGAGTCAGATGCTCAACAGACTGAGCCACCCAGGTGCCCCTCTAGTCTAAGAGTGTCAGCTTTGTTCTGTCCTATTGCAAAGCCTTTCCTGGCTGGTATCATGGTCAAGGCTCACATACGGCCTCTTAATTTCTTTTAGGACCCTGATTTGACAATTATTGGGTCACTTATTGGGGGCTAGGGTTGAGGAAGAGGGGCTATTGGGGGGCTAGGGGTGAGGAAGGCAGCAGGGTAAAGAAAAAAACAGAAGTGTTAACTGGTGGGGGCCACCCTATGTAAAGGAGCCTTGTACAGAAAAATTACTGAGCCAGGCAGCTACCTTATTGATGTCCACTACATTCTTCTTCTGTGTCCTTATGTTTTTGAATGAAGATCTTATGTAGGACTAACTGGGAAATTATATCTATGAGAGTTGAGCTTAATGAACAATATATTAGGCTGGTGTTCAGATTTTTAAATGTAAACCTAAATTCCTAAAAAAAAAAATTTAGGGTTGCTTGAACACTCCTTTGAGATAGTAGAAGCCTCTACTTGTACTAGTGAGGAAAGCAGTCATTCTTTCAATACATATTCAGTGATGATCCACCACGTCTGTTCTTCTCTCCAAATAAACAAGGAGATCAAAGCTGTAAGCAGACATAGTCTCTACCTCCCAGGCTCCTATACATGCTATCCTATCTGCCTGAAGTAGCGTTCCTTTCTGTCTCTGCCCCTTCACATCCAGTTGTCAAATTCCTAATCATCACTGGAGATGCAAGTCACTTCTTGGGCTTCTGTCCACTATGCTATGCATTTTATGCATACCTTTATTATTACTGCCATCAGAGCTCTTCCTTTACCTAGATTGTAAGACACTAGAAGATAAGAATTGTGTCTTAATCTACTTATCTCCAGTACCTAAAACAGCCTCTAGTGTTGAGTAGGTAATAAGTGTTTGATGACCAAATAAGTGAATGACCTCTGACTAGCAGAATCCGGCAAGGCACCAGAGAAGTGAATCTTGAAAACTTAACTGAGAAATTACCATCACAGAAACACACACACACACACACGTATGTATGCACAGAACTTCCCAGTTGTTATAGTTTCCTGGCATGGAGTGTCATAAACCATGCTACACAGCCGGCAATGAGGTATTCTAAGAGTAAACAGGACTGAGCCTAAACAAGACACAACTTTGGAAGCACCTAACAGAAGGAGTGACCACCAACGTGGGAGGAATAGGCAATTACTACCACCAAGGTCCTTTTCTGGGCAGGTGTCAAAATTTGAGGGAGGGTCAGTTTCAGTAGACTAGGGCTGAAGCAGAAAGACAGAACAGAGACCTGTAGATTTGGATTAATTATCTAATTAAAGGTATCCAATAAATGGTGCTAGGAAAAGAGGTGATTAAGCTGTCAAGAGGCCAGATTCTACCCTATCAACTGGGGCCCAGGGCTAATTCCCCAGGTCTCCTGTGGACACCAGGGAAGTTGCCTCAGCACTGTAAAGTAGATTCTGTGGCTGGGAGTAAAGGCTGAGGTTCTTGTTTAGAACCACAAAAGACTCCAAAGAATCTATACTAGTTAGAAGGAGATAGCTGACATCATGCTACTAAAATCCTACTGCTTGGAGTGCCTGCATGGCTCAGTCAGTTAAGCAACCCGCTTTGGCTCAGGTCATGATCTCACAATTTGTGAGTTCAAGCCCCGCATGAGGCTCCATGCTGACAGCTCGGGGCCTGGAGCCTGCTTCAGATTCTGTGTGTCCTTCCCTCTCTGCTCCTCCTCTACTTATGCTAGCGCGCTCTCTCTCTCAAGAAAAAAAAAAAAAACACATCTCCTGCTCTAGGAAGGGATGGGCTATCTTGGAAGTGGTTAGATTCTCATGAAGGATAATTGAGGCAGACACCTACTCAGGAGTCAGTTACTTATCTCATTACTTCTGTTTCCTTCACTTGTTTTTCTTTAATTATATTTTTCTCTATCAAAAAATTATACATGATAATTACAGAAAATTTGGGAAATAAAGAATTATGACTATTTATCTTTCTAGGAGATATCTATATCTTTGAGAGCAAGGGCTGGGTATTAACTACCCAGTCATCCTTGTATCTCCAGCATCTGGCACATGGTAGTCACTCCCAATGTCTGTGGGATAAATAAATAAATGAATCATACTGTGGTGATGATTTGCTGCTCACAAGTAATAACCATGTTCTGGTTTCTTGCAGGAGACTATCTAAGAAGAAAGGGAAATTAAGTCATCAAAGGACTATGAAAGACAGCTTTTGTTATTTTAGGAAATTGATTCTAAAGAAAAAGTAATGCCTTAGTTTGTGGTTGAAAAACTCTGGGAAGAAGATACGGAAAAGGAAGGAAGAATGGGTTAAGGAAGTGATTTTTCTTATTTCATGAGATCCTCTTCTTTAATTGGAATTCTTTGATAAGCTTTACCTGTCTGCTTTGTTTGATTTTTTTCAAGTGTTGGTCATTGGCATGAGTGTGAGGACACTGATAGCAACACGGGGCGTATTTGTTGAGAGTCTCCTCCATAAATCTCTTGGACTCTCCCACACATCCTGCTGGGTATGCCAAGAGCGCAAGGCCTAACCACTTTTCAGGGTTATGTTCCAGGAAGTAACCCCGAGAAATGAAGTAATGTCTCCCTTCAGAACAAAGAGTGAGCTTTCTTACTGCTTGCCATAAAAAAAGTTCCCCCGAACTCAGTGTTGCTATCCTGTAATGCTGCTCACCACATATGTGACAGCCATCTGGTCCACATCACCTCTATAGGACTTGGGGAAAAGGGCAACACAAAGGCCACCCTTTGGGCCATGGTCAAAGTATTTGATGGGCATTCCACACTCCCCACCATCTGCAGATATCTGATTTTGTTGAACTTTGAAATGGCCTTTCAAGGGGCGCCTGGGTGGCTTAGTCGGTTAAGCATCCGACTTTCGCTTAGGTCATGATCTCACGGTTCGTGGGTTCGAGCCCCGCGTCGGGCTCTGTGCTGACTGCCAGCTTGGAGCCTGGAGCCTGTTTCAGTCTGTGACTCCCTCTCTCTCTGACCCTCCCCTGCTCACGCTGTCTCTCTCTCCTAGAAATAAAAAAAAAAAAAAAGAAATGGCCTTTCAAAAATCAACTCAAGGGTGTGTGGGTGGCTCAGTTGGTTAAGCATCTGACTTTGGCTCAGATCATGATCCCATGGGTTGTGGATTCAAGCCCCACATAGGGCTCTGTGTTGACAGCTCAGAGCCTGGAGCCTGCTTTAGATTCTGTGTCTCCCTCACTCTCTGCCCCTCCTCTGCTCACACTCTGTCTCTCTCTCTCTCTCTCTGTCAAAAATAAAAATACTTAGGGGCACCTGGGTGGCTCAGTCAGTTAAGTGTCCAACTTCGTCTCAGGTCATGATCTTGCAGTCAGTGGGTTCAAGCCCTGCTTCGGGCTCTGTGCTGACAGCTAGCTCAGAGCCTAGAGTCTGTCTTTGAATTCTGTATCTCCTTCTTTCTGACCCTCCCCTGCACTCTCTCTCTCTCTCTCTCTCTCTCTCAAAAATAAAACATTTAAAAAAGTTTCTTAAGAGGTGCCTGAGTGGCTCAGTCGGTTAAGGATCCGACTTACCGACTAACCTTATCTGACTAACCTTAGCTTAGGTCATGATCTCACGGTTCATGGGTTTGAGCCCCGTGTCGGGCTCTGTGCTCACAGCTAGCTCAGAGCCTGGAGCCTGCTTCAGATTCTGTATCTCCCTCTCTCTCTGACCCTCCCCTGATCACGCTGTCTCTCTCTGTCTCTCAGAAATAAGTAAAACATTTAAAATTTTTTTTAAAAAATAAAATGAAATAAGTTTTTTAAAATAAATGCATTAAAACAACTCAAAAAATTTTTTAAATCAACTCAAGATTTTTGACTCTGTCTCCCTTACTTCCTCCTAGTCCACATAATATAGTATGGCCAATGAATTTAATCCTCTCCAGAAAGGGTTAATCTCTTCTGTTTACCTCCTGGGTGATGATCAGGACAATAAGGGTGGGGAGTTATAGAACCTATTTTGAAAATTCAGTATTCCATACTGTCCATTCCTGGGCATGACACATCTTTCTGTCCCCTAACGGCAGCTCCAGGCCAACCTGGTTGGCACCTCCTTCAGGTGTCCCTGAGGAGAGAACATCTTACACCACTAGCATCAGGTCTTAGACCTTTTGCAGTTCTTGACATTATCAAGCAGCAAGGTACAGTTTTCTGAATTCCGAAAACATGCTTTCCATGTAATCTACCTATAGATTTTGGTGTCAGTCCTCATGCCAATGATTTCTCCCCGTAAATCAGCACATTGACTCCTGGAGTGTATAACTTAGTCGTGTGCATTATACACCCGCTCTCTACATGCTGTCAAGCTGGGGTTTTGAGCCTGCAAAGCAGAAGTTCTGACCCTTGACCGCGGTGATCTCTAAAGTGCTAGAAGCCTCTTGCATGTTCACCAGCTGGTCAGCCAGCTTTTCCTAGGCACATACTCACTGCACTGCTAGGTGCCCAGTGGGGCCCTTTTTGTAAACCACCTCAAGCCAAATGCCTCACTATCTGGAGCCATCCTATATGATCTGTCCAGTTACTTCCTATAATTCTCATTATAAAGTTCCAGCTGCGTCCAGCTATTCATAGAGACCCACAAAACTGACCCTTTGTTGTCACCACACAGTACCTGCAGAGGTGTCCTGGAGCAGATGACTAAAGAGATTTGTGTCCTGGTGGTCCACAAAGACTTTAGAGGGGGCACACAGGCATGAATGGAGTTAAGTGATTCATTTTTTTCCAGATCCTCAGCTTCCATATGTACTTGCCTAAAACTGCTGTGTTTGAGGAGACATGTCAGCTCTAGCTTCCCACCTCCCCTCCCCAAGCACCTTCCCCCAGGACACAAAAGGAAGCTATAGTCTCATCTAGCCCCCATCTTCCCATGATGCTTGGCTTGGAGTATAAAAACTGCAGTGTGCCAGAGGAAAGGAAAATTCTAAATATTTTTTAATGTTTTTAAGTCCATCCCCCATTGTCAAAAAATACACATGTGGAGCAAGTAAAAAGAACATTCGTGAGAAATAGTGAAAATCTTTGTGTCATAATTGTTCTATGAGAGGAAGGCTTTATGTCTTACCTATATTTCTTTCTTTAATGTTTATTTTAAGAGAGGAAGGAGGGGGGGAGGCAGAGAGAGAGGGAGAGAATCCTAAGAGGGGATGAGATCATGATCTGAGCTGAAATCAAGAGTCAGATGCTTAACCAACTGAGGCATCCAGGTGCCCCTATGTTTCTTAAAATTCAGAATCAAGATGATTGTCACAGGACATGTATTAACATGATTATTTGAATTGAAAAATGAGAAACCTTCTCTGATAGAAAGTAATTTTGATTATTTAACGATGAGGTTGGCTTTGCCAATAAGAATGTCACAGATGTTTTTCATAATTAAGTCTGCAGCTTCAATATGTTAATGAAAATGTATTTGAAGTATGTGATAAGGTAGAAGGATTTGATTTTTAAAAATGGTCTTAGCAAAGGCGTATTGAAATTAACATTTTTACTTTCCGAATCCTTTGTGAATATATCAATTTAAACAAGGTGCCTTGGGGCTCCTGGGTGGCTCAGTGGGTCACCAGCTCAGGTCGTGATCTCACAATTCAGGGGTTCAGGGATTCAAGCTTGAGGAGCCTGCTTGGGATTCTCTTTGTCTCCCTCTCTCTCTGCCCCTCCCTCACTTGCCTTTTTTTTCTCTCTCTCTCAAAATAAATAAACTTTAAAAAAAGTACCTATAAGTGAAAAAATAGCAGATATAATTAATAATCATTTGATAAATTGTCATAAAGCTTTGTGTTTGAATAATCCCAGAAGCTAAGAACCTGAACAACACTTAGAGGTGGATAACAAATCCTTTACAGGTTGATTGGTTTCCAAGTCTTTCAACAAAATTGAAGAAAGACCTAATTAAGTTGCCAGCTAATAGATCACTGAAAATAATTTTTGATGATAGATCATTATATAGTTTTTAATCATGTAACTCAGAGGTATTCAGAGAATTGGCTGACATTTCTATAATGAAATTTCTCTTTCCCATCTAATTTATGCAAATTAGATTCCTCAGAGCTTGTCTATAAAAATGAAAAATAGGCAGAGAATTTATGTTGATCCCAGTCTCATTCCAGCAATGAGTAATATTCACCCATAGACATAATAATTACTTGGAAAAATTCAACCCCACCAACGGTCATTAAGAGATGTCTTTCCAATAAAATTCTACTTTTCATGTTCAATAATTATTAATATTTAAAATAATACAATAATATAAAAATTCAAAATAATGGTTTGATCAATTGTGAACTAATAATATTGTAATGATAATAAATTCCAGAAGAAATGTAACACAGCCCAATGGTCACAGGAAATAACTTTTTAAAATAATGTCAGTTTTTGTACACATTTTCCTGCAGATAAGAATGATCAACAAAGCAGGAAATACAGCAGTATGTAATTCTATGAGAAAAGTAGAAAGGGAAATATGAGTACTAGAAGAAAAATGACATCTTAGAACCTCTGTTAAAGATCTGATTGGGACATTTTTAGTGGATGATCATAAATATCAAATTGCTCTGAAATCCGGATTCTACTTGACACATTTAAAAGTCTGATATGGGTGGAGCACCTGGGTGGCTCTGTTGGTTAAGCATACAACTCAGTTTCAGCTCAGGTCATGATCTCACAGTTCATGAGTTTGAGAGCCCTGTGTCAGACTCTGTGCTGACAGAGCGGAGCCTGCTTGGGATTCTCTCTCTCCCTCTCTTTCTATCCCTCCCCTGCCTGCGTGCTCTCTCTTTCAAAATAAATAAATAAACTTTTAAAAATAAATAAATAAAAGCCTGATATGAGTTTAATTTTTTTAACATTTATTTATTTTTGAGAGGCAGATGAGGACAGAGAGAAAGACACAGAATCTGAAGCAGCCCGCAGGATCTGAGCTGTCAGCACACAGCCTGAGGTGGAGCTCAAACTCATAAACCAAACCACAAGATCATGACCTGAGCCGAAATCAGCCACTTAACCAACTGAGCCACCCAGGCGCCCCATGATATGAGTTTTAAAATGTTAGTTATGACCAGAAATCATATCTTTTTCACTATTTAAGATTAAATACTTTAGATATTGGGGTGCCTGGGTGGTTCAGTTGGTTAAGCATTCGACTCTTAATTTTGTCTCAGGTCATGATCTCATGGTAGTGAGATCGAGCCCTGAGTTAGGTTCTTCACAGAGTCCTGGGCGTGGAGACTGCTTAAGATTCTCTCCCTCCCTCTTTCTCTGCCCCTCCCCTGCTCATTCCCCCCCCCCCGAAAAAAAGGAAAAAATATTTTAGGTATCAACTTTAAAATGTGAGAGGGGACAGACAGTCCCCTAGTTTTCAAAA